AAGACGACGCTGACTAAGCTGAAAGCCTGTATTTCCCGAGTCAGGCCAGAGAAGCAGACAACCTTTCGCTTGCAACACGATAACACTAGACCCCATATCAGTTTGGCGATCACTGCGCACAGCGCAAAGTTTGGCTGGACTGTCCTACCACATCCACCTTATAGCCCCGATTTAGCACCTTCAGACTTCCATCTCTTTGGGCCTATGAAAGACGGACTACGTGGGTAACATTTTCCAGACAACGATGCTGTCATTGCAGCTGTAAGAAAATGGCTAGCCTCTGCTGGCGCCGACTTTTACGGGCGTGGCATGTAGGCTCTTGTTCATCGCTGGCAAAAGTGCATAACGAATGGTGGTGATTATGTGGAAAAATAGCTGTAAGTAGCTGAAATCTTGCTCTATTTAACTGCGTTATTATGATTTCTGTATCTGTTGTAGTTTTCTTTAAAAAAAAATAGGCATTATATATGGAACGCCCTTAGTAATAATAATAATAATAATGAATAATTTATAGCCAGTGAGATAAAATTATTGTATACTAGTAATTAAATTATACTCACTGGAAGAATATTTTTATCTATGTTGTTGTCGTCCTGCTTGCCGTTTTTGTCTGTATTTTACTGTATTCACAAGTCTCCCTTATGGGGATCTATGAATATATGAATGGAGATTGCTAGTTTGCTCTTACTTTTACTTACTTTTACTTACATATTTTATAACCTTTAACAATGTACTCATTGATATTGTTTTTGACAAAAGGCCCAAATTGTGATGCACAAGTACATTACTTATTAGTGATGTACTCATCGACATTGTTCCTGTTAACAGGCTCAAATTGTGATGCATAAGTACATTTAACTTATATTTATGGAATTTGTAATCTTATTAATTTTTCAACTAGACTGTTATTGCATAGATGTCATTGTATTTATATTGTATTTGACTTGTTCAATATCCTATGGTGTCTACCTGTATCTGGATTTAAGGAACGTAAATAAGTTGAACAATTGAATACACACTTGTTTGATGTGACCATCCAAGACAATGATCGGGATCTTGTTGAAGAGACGAAATTCATGGTGCATGTGCATGGTAGACTGATGACGGACATCTGGATTAGGTTGCCATTTGGCACTCCATATATGGCGTGCAAAGCTGTACAGTAGCCTCCTCGTATATCGCAGGTCACTTCCCGCCAGTAGGGATGGAGAGTGAACACCATTCAGGTGAGCCACATCTGCTGCATTTTCTGGGATATCCTGTGCAGTACATCACAGACCAAATGGTACAGTTGTCTTAATAAGGCACTTCTTTACTACCATAACTGCCTGAAGTGGAATCTGATCTAATGCAGATAATCCATCTAAAACAGAACCTGTATTAAATTGAATCATATCTTTATTAGAATATATCTCTGATCTCAAGAAATTACAGTGAAAACCAGTGTAATAATATATCCCTAACAAATGAAAGCTGTTTAACATAGAAACAGAAAGGAAAATAGTTCACTTGAATATTTACTTTTCTGAAGATAACTGTCTCATTGAATGTCACACTATGTAGTCTGGTGATCAGAAGACAGAACTCTTCATATTCACTGCTATGAGAACCTCACGTTCTATGTGTATTGTTTCTCTTTCAGTTACTTAGTTCTGTACTATCCTGGAATTTGTCAGAAAGGGATCATGCTTGTGATGAGTGTAAATTGGGTAGAATTAAGACTGACCATCACCAAAATATATGTAGAATATCTTAATAGATCACTGGAACAAAGAGAGAGAGAGAGAGGGGAAAGTTATTTAGTATTTTTGTGTGCTTCATTCTAAAATATATTAGATTCTGCCATATAGACATTTCAGATCATTAGGGTTACTAAGCCATTGAAAGGTGACAAGAGGAAACAATTTTCAAATACAAATACTTGAAATGAAATTTTCTCAGACTCTTTCTGGATGTAAATTGAAAGATGTAAAAAAAATGATAATACATAACAGCTGAATTTTACAATATTATATTTAAGCATCCTGTTGCACTTTATACGATATATGATATAACTCCATCCTAAGTGCAAACTATATTTATAGGTCTTTCGTTTTGTTCTCCTTTATACACTGCATGTTTCGGCCCCAAATGGCCATCATCAGGTGTATACACTCACGTATCTGTTACACTGCACTTATTTATAACATTTAAAATTTAAAAACATAGGTCTTCCTGATTGTTCNNTTATTACCAAAATCTACTTCGTTGATATCTTTCTTATTTACACACGTCAATTTTGATTTCTCTGAATTTGCACTTATAAAATCTTCAGTTCTAATTTTAAATCCTTTAAAAATTTGTTCTCAAAATTTTAAAATCAGAGAAATCTAAATTGACACATGTAAATAACAAAGATATCAACAAACTAGATTTTGGTAATAACAACGAAAGGAACAATCAGGAAGACCTATGTTTTAAATTTTAAATGTTATAAATAAGTGCAGTGTAACAGATATGTGAGTGTATACACCTGATGATGGCCGTTTGGGGCCGAAACATGCAGTGTATAAAGGAGAACAAAACGAAAGACCTATAAATATAGTTTGCACTTAGGACGGAGTTATATCATATATAGCTGATATAGCTGAATTTTGTTTTACAAAAAGAAAATTGAACACAGATCTGCCTGTGTAGGGCTTAGGAATTCCAACCATATGATCTATTGTATTATGTGAAGAATGGCCAGAGAGTAAGTTTACAATGTGTATGTTTTGTAGTAGTCAAGTCACATAAGGGTGGAAAAGTTGAAGGAAGAGAAGATATTACGAAGTTACTCACCAAGTCTTCATTATGGATAATATATCATTATACAGTACATAAACCTTACATATATAATTCCTGTGGAGACTGAGACCTGTATATCATAGAAAGAGTTTATGTATCTCCTTTGATAGATGTTCTTTCATTGCCTTTTCCACATCCTAATCAGTTTTAAATCAGTCACATTTCAGTCAGTACTTCTCTGTTTCCAACACTAATGTAACATCCTGGAGGCCAAAACTATTGACAGTGATGTGGAAACATCACTAAAATGATGGTTGAAGAACCAGATACTGACTTTTATGGCTATGGTATGGCGTGCGTCTGTGAGACTATCTGGGAAAGTTGTTTGTCATACAATGATAATTACTATCAATTGAACATTTAACAAATACTTTAAGTAATCTGCCATGTAAAATTTCTTCCTCAGTACCAAAGCTAAAAAACGCCGATGTTATAGAGCACATGCTGAAATAGAAAGAAAAAATAGGCTCTCATTCTGCACTGAACTTGTTCAGGTGGCATATGTTGCCAGAGATTATTATTCTTACAGTTGCAACAAATTGTTTCTTTCATTGTATGCTGATGGATGACTATATGAATTACTGTGGAGTCAAAATGAATAACATGCTGGAAGTTATGAACATGATGCTAGTAATTTCAAGCCCTATGTCTTACCTACTTCCTTTTTATGCAAATCCATGCTTTTATTATAGAAGATATCATCATTCATGCATACCACACAGGAAACTACAGTTCTCAGTGCCTTGGTCAAGTCCTCAGCCTGACCTCATACACAGGTAGGAAGATCGCTGTCTGATGCATATATTGCAAAGTACTGCCAGATACAAGAATTCTTGAACAACATAAAATAGAGTGGCCTTAAAAATGTACACACACACTTTGGACATTCATCAAATGTGTAAAGGAACAAATAGCATGGCTATATGTAATTGTGATATACAAGTAAAAATAATGCAACTAAATTAAACTGGTTTCTTACTCAGTATTGTTACATCCAGCCTATTAATAAAAATAGTGAGGCATCACTTGATATTTGATCTGTAGAAGGGTTTCTTTTTCCTCTGGAAAACCGAGGAAATGGCAGCAGTATAGAGATACTGGAGAAATAAACTGAGCTGAACCACCAGCACACCTAACCATTTGAGGGTTGCATGATGAACCTGAGACAGACATAAGAGTGCAGGAGGAACAAGGGTTCTGGAAGATCTTATAGGTCAGAAGATGGTGAAAGTGTTACACATTTTTACACATTCCCCTACAAAATCTCAATGTGCAGGGCAATTGAATGGAAAAGTAATTTTAGCGTAGAGTACAATCTTGAATATGTAATGTACTGGTTCTTTGTGTGATTTGAGAGAAATAAGTTCATGGAAGCAATTTCCTATCCACTATGGTACAAATGAAAGGTGCCCTCCAGGAAAATAGCGTTCCACCTAAACGCATCATGAAACTGACAAAGTAACATCATTGAAACATTTAGCTGAAGGACTTGACTTTACAGCGTTATTCAAGTAAAAGTGAAGAAAAATTAATTTTGGTGGTACTTGATGACTAAGAATATTCCTGATAGAGCAACAGTTAATTTTGTTCTTGAAAGCAATTAAAAAATAAAAAATCCAGATATCGTCTGAGAATTCTCTTAATTTTAAATATTCAAGGATCAAGTTATAATTGCAAGAAATATCAGACTGATAAAATAGACTGCAATACAAGAGCCGGGGCAGCGCAGTTGTTATAGCAACTGGCTATGGGCTGAACGACCAGGGGTCGGAATTTGAGTCTCGGTAGAGACAAGAATTTTCACTTTTCCATGTCTTACAGACCGGCTCTGGGGCCCACCCAGCCTCCTATCCAATGAGTATCGGGATTCTTTCCCCATGGTAAAGCGGCTGGGGCGTGAAGCTGACCACTCCACCTAGTGTCGATATCAAAAAAGAACATGAGCCTGTACATGCACTCCCTGTAAATCTTCAGCATAGGGACAACTTTACCTTTTTACCTTTACCTATAATATGAAGGCTGTTTGGAAAGCAACATACAGTGAGCCATTAACCAAACAAGCAGTGAGAGAAAGAAATTATTGTATACTAAATCTACTGCTCAATGTAGTCACCCCTAGAACTGAGACACTTGTCTTAGAGGAGTAAATTTTGTATGCCTGTGTAAAAGAAGTCTGTTGCCTGTGAGCTCAGGCAGTTTTGACCCCTCTCATCAACTCATTTTTGTTGAAGGGTTGTGATCGCAACCAGTTCTTTGGATAGCTAAACAGGTGGTAGTTGCAAGATCAGGGCTGTAAGGAGGGCGGTCTGTTGAAACGCTCGAGCAGTGCATTGTTATGGAGGAGTACAACACTGTCTGTCAGCATTCCACGCCTTTTCTTCTGAATGACCCCATGCAGTTTTTTAATGTTTCGCAGTACACTTGTGACGTTAATGTGGTCCCTTGATGCCTGAATTCCAACATCAGCACTCTTTTCCTGTCCCTGAAAACAGATGTAATCAGCTTTCTGGCGGGCAGACGTTTGTTTAAACTTCTTCGGCTTGTTTGGTGAATGTGTGTGCGCTTCCACTGCTTCGACTTCTCCTTGGTTTCGACATTCACAAATCAAACCCAGGTTTCATCACCTGTTTCTCATACGGTGTGATTGAGAAATTCATCGCCATCTTTGCGGTATCGCTCTAAAAAAAGTCCAAGCCGAAGCCATTCTCTGCGTTTTCTGCGCACCCGTGAACATTTTCGGAACCAATTTTGCGCAAAACTTGTGATAACTATAATAATTTTGTAAAGAACAGTGCGTGAAATTTGTGGAGATTCACGTGAAAGTTCTGAAATTGTGAAGTGCCGTTTTTCACTAATTTTTTGGTCAACATTTTGAACAGGATAATTATTCACTACAGATGTCCGTCAAATTTGAATATTCTACACCATTATCTTACAGTTCCTTCACTCATTAAGTTTTGGCCGTAAACCGCCGCACATAATTCATGACGGATTTTTGCAGCACTCATCTTTTCACTATGAAGAAAGCGGGTAAGCCCGAAAATTTTGCAGCTGTCAGGACTATCAGTAGCAGGAAACATCACTGCGGACCTCATAAAAAGTTTGGTTATTCTTCTGTATTTCTGTTTTGCGTTCTTCAATACTCTGCATAGGGCTACTTCAAAGGGCTTCACTTTCGCTTACTGCAGACAAAGACTCTATTTCAGATTCCACTGTAAGACATGTACAGAATCATACAGTCAGAAATGATGCTCCTTGAAATTCATTAAAAGTTTACCGTATAAAAATAATTTGAATAAATGTTTCAGATCTTACTTACACGCAATATATCACGTTCAAATATTGTGTACGATAGAACTTTTTGAAAAATTAGGAAATTTGATTTGAACTAAATGCAAAATTATGTTCGACCCACAAGAACAAAAGTTTAATT